GCAGCTTCTGGGGCTTCTGCCGTTGGCGATCCTCACTTGCAAAACGTTCATGGTGAGCGGTTCGACTTGATGAAGGAGGGCAATCACGTGCTCATAAGCATTCCTCGTTGACAGATCGCCGAAAACGCCTTGCTTCGCGTGCGGGCCGATGCGCGCCGATTGGGTGGACAATGTGCGGATATGTACTTCCAAGCGCTGAACGTTACAGGGTCTTGGGCTGAGGCCAGTCAAGCTGGAGGGTATCGAAGACGCCTACGGCGAATCACCGCCGCCCCCTACCTTTATGACAAGCGCCTCTGTGGCCAAGCGTTTGGGTCCAGAGCTTGAACAAACTTTCGGACCAGGTGCTCCCCGAGCCGCTGTCGAAACCTTTCGGGGAACACGTGGGCGAGGAAGAGGAGGATGAGGAGAGGAAGGGAAAAGGAGGAGGAGGAGGAGGAGGAGGAGGAGGAGGAGGGAGGAGATCTCTTGGGAGCCTCGTGCGCCATTCCTGGGGCCTTCTGAGAGCTTCCTCGGGACCTCTTGGAGGCCTCTTGGGGGTCTCCTTGGGCCTCTTGGGGGCCTTAAGGGGCTTCTTGGCGGCCCTTTTGGTCTTCTTGCGGCGTCCCTGGTCTGTCTGACGCCGTCGGAAGCCATCTTGGAAGATTCTCTGGGCCGTCTTGGGGCCCTCTTGGGGCGCTGAAGAGCCGTCTCGGAGGCCATCTTGGGCGTGTTGGAGGCCTCTTGGGCCGTCTTGGGACCCTTTTTGGGCTGTCTTGGGATCCTCTTGGGCCGTCCTGGGGCCATCTTGGAGGCCTCTCGCGCGCGCGATCTGTGGCCGTCTCGGGCCGTCGGACGGCCGAAAGGAAGTAAACGTCCAAATTCTTCGCAAACCGAAGGCAAATCACTGCTTCTGGCATCTTGGGGCCTTCGTGGAGTACCTCTTGGAGGCTTGTTGGGCTTGGGGGCCTCTTGGACCGTCTTGGGCTATCTTCTTGAGGCCATCTTAGGCCGTCTTCGGTGCATCTTGGGCCGTCTTGGAGACATCTTGGGACTTCTTGAGGCCATCGTGGGCGCCTTGGAGGCGTCTTGGGACCGTCTTGGAGGCCATCTTGGGGCCATCTTGACCGAAAAAGCTGACGAGACGGGCGGCCAGCGGCATCGCCGAAGCCCCAGGGGTAGTCTTAACAAGAACCATACACCATCGTAAATTTAGCGCGCTGGGCACCTCTGTGGCAAGCCAGCAGGGGGCGGCGGACCTAGTGGACTTCGGCCCAGCCCGCCACCGTGCCTGGGTTGTCGGTCAGAGGCCCTTTGGATGCCTGTGGGGATCTACCGGGAGATCTCTTGAAGCCTCTTTCGGGCATACTTTTTAAAGCATCTCGGGGGCTTCTTGGGGGCCTGATTTGGGCATCTCGGGGCCTCTTGGGGGCCTCCCGGGGCCTTTCCGGGGCTCCTCGGGGGCCTCTGGGGAGATCTCGGGGCCATCTTGGGGCGGGGGGCTCAAAGCGTCAGTTCGTGTTCCTCCTCTTGGGGCTGTCTTGGAGGCCTATTCGGCCCTCCTTGGAGGCTCTTGGGCCGTTTTGGGGTGGTCTTGGGCGCCTCTTGGGCCGTCCTGGACGCTCTGAGGACCAACAAATGCCCAAACCGTAAATCACATGATTTTGACCATTTTCGGCTTCTTGGGCCGCCCTCCAGGGCCTCCAAAACGGCCCGAGAGGTGTGCAAGAGGGTGGGGGACCCCAGAGAGCGCCCGCGAGCGCCTAGGGGCGCTCGGAACTCTGGGCTGTAGGCCCTTTCCAATAACATGTATAGTACTTAACACAGGGAGCTCGCAGGGCACTCCAACTCGTGCCTTCAGGGCACGGTGGTGGACCACTACAGCGTGGAGCAAACTGACGCCGAGATTCCAGAATGGGTTGCTTTGGGTAAGGTTGAGCTCAAAGTAGTTCGTGGATGTACGGACAGTGGCCTCCGCTACTTGAATTTGTACGTGAAGCACCTAGGGCGGGCAGGATTTGTTGTCGGAGGTCTGCTGGGAGAGGACGACCACGAGGACGTCATGGTTCCTCCAGAGGCATGTGCCACGCGTCTGGCCCTGGTGGATTATGTGGAAGCAGGCCTGAAAGCTCCATCAGTGGCCTCGGTCGCAGTGGCAACCCTTGCGTGACCGACCGTGCTCGCCTTGCACGTCATCGAAGACGCCGTCGGGTATGCGCCCCGACCTCTCGACCAAGCAGTGAGTTCGGACTGGCGTTGTCGGGTGAGCAACTGTTTCTTCGCTGAAGCCGATCTCCTTCTGTTCCTGATTCTGGTTCGCTGCTCCTCAGAGGGCGCCGGAGAAACCCTCGCCCCTCGTCCCTTGCGTCTGGCTCCTCCTCCCTCGTCCCCGCTCTGACCTCCTCCGAGACTGCTCCTTCCTCATCCGTCCTCCCTCCCCCTCCGTTCTCGGCAGCCTGCAGGGGCCTGCCGTGGGCCTCCAGGTGTTTTTTCCAGGAGGGGGACCTGCAGCGGGTCTTCGTCGTCCTCGTCGTCGTCCTCGTCGTCGTTGTCCTCAGCCTGCAGGAGCCTTGAGATGGCGCCCCCAGGGTTCCCCATAGCGAGGGGGCTCCCGCTCGAGGCGTCCAAGCGAGTTACTCACGGACGGGTCTCCCGCTCGAGACTTCTCTACGATGAGTGTGCGACTTAGTGTGTGACCGTGTAAGTGTGAACGACGACGATGGTGATGATGCTGCTGCTGCTGCTGCTGCTGCTGCTTATGATGATGACGATGATGCTGACGAGGAGGATGATGATGCTGATGATGACGCTGATGGTGATGTTGAGGAGAAGTTTGAGGATGACGAGGATGATGCCGATGTTGCTGATGCTGTTGCTGCTGATGATGATGCTGATGATATCGACGATCACGATGCTGCTGCTGCTGATGATGCTGAGGCTGAGGATGAGGATGAGTATGATGACGGTGGTGCTGATGATGGTGCCGATGATGGTGATGACGACGACGATTACGACCACGATGATCATGCTGATGGTGACGACTACGATCATGATGAAGATGATGATGATGATGATGCTGATGATGATGATGCTGATCATGATGATGCTGATGATGATGATGATGATACGGTTGGTGATGATGGCGACGATGATTATGATGATGATGCTGATGCTGATGATGCTGACGGTGCTGGTGATGATGCTGATGATGACGATGCCGATGATAATGACGATGCTGATGACAATGATGATGACGATGATGATGATGATAAGCATGACGCATATGACGATGATGTTGATGCTGATTGCGGTGAGGGTGATGATGATGATGAGGACGATGATGATGATGCTGATGATGCTGCAGATGCCGATGATACTGATGGCGATGATGATGATGCTGCTGATGATGATGATTCTGATGATTGGGGTGACGATGATTGTTATGATGATGGTGACGGTGACGGTGATGGTAATGGCAATGGCAATGGCAATGGTAAGGGTAGTGGTAATGGTAATGGTAATGGTGATGGGGATGATGGTGATGATGACGCTGCTCTTGCTGATGGTACTGAGGATGAGTATGCTGGTGGTGGTGGTGATGTTGATGACGATGAGGATGATGCTGGTGATGATGATGGTGATGGTGATGGTGATGGTGATGGTGGTGCTGACGATGATGATACTGGTGGTGATGATGATGATGCTGCGAGTGTGCGAGCGGTGCCACTCATGCTGAGTATGATGATGATGGTAATGACGATGCCGAAGATGACGATTATGATTATGATGCTGATGATGCTGATGATGATGGTGGTGGTGACGATGATGATGTTGAGCATGATTGGTGATGCTGATGCTGATGATGATGGTGCTGATTGTGCTGGGGGTGATGACGATGATGATGGCGATTGTGATGGGGGTGATGCTGGTGATGATGATGCTGATGATGGTGATGGTGATGGTGGTGATGATGCTGCTGTTGATGATGATGATGAATATGATGAATTTGATGATGATGCTGATGATCATGATGCGGATGATGGTTCTGGTGAGGATGATAATGACGATTACGATGACGTTGATGATGCTGATGATGATGATGCTGATTGTGTTAGGGGGTGGTGGTGATTATTATGCTGATGCTGATGATGGAGATGATGATGTTGCTGATGATAATGATGATGACGTTGGTGATTCTGATGATGATGATGACGATGATTATGTTGACGACGATGATGGTGAGGATTATGATGATGATGGTGATTATAATGATGATGCTGAGGATGAGGATGATGATGGTGATGATCATGCTGACGATGGTGATAGTGATGATGGTGATGATGATGGAGGTGATGATGATGAATATGCTCATGATGATGCTGATTCTTGTGATGGGGGTGACGATGATGGAGTTGATGATGATGATGATGAATGTGATGATGCTGATGATGTTGATGATGATGACGATGATTGTTACAATATTGCTATGATGGTGGTGATGATGATGGTGCGTTTGTTGTTGCTGCTGTTTATGATGATGGGGTTGATGGTGCTGATGATGACGATGCTGATGCCGATGCTGCTGCTGCTGCTGCTGCTGCTGATGATGATGATGATGATGATGATGATGATGATGGTAGCAGTACGAGAGGAGAAATGGGTGAGGAGGACGAGGAGGTTCCTGCGGGGGGTGTCCAGAGAAAACACGAGCCCTTTTCAGGACATGGGGAAGATAGTCCAGTGACAGGGGCCCTCCTGGCTTTGAATGGAGAGAGTTTCCCGGGCTGGGCCCTGGCACTACAGCCCAGCAGGGCCACTTTCACTCAGAAGTCATCGGCAAGGGTCTGTGCTTTTATGGTTCGATGGCCGTCCGCGCCCTTTGCGACAGTGCTGGCGATATGTGCCATCTGTGCGGCAGCACCAGATCGGAGTTATTTCGGCTCAGACAACAGCTACACACATTCCGGCACCTTTACTTGATATCGAACTTTTTTTTTTGCGCGCCGTGAAACTCACGCGGGATGAAGTCCTCCAGCATCGCGGTACTCTTGTTTTTAGTTGGCTGCGTGGGAGCTGCTCAGCTCAAAGTGATTGACGACACGACCTACGAGTCTGGAGCAGCACGTTCCCCAGTGTATGGGTACGAAATCACTTACAAGTCTACGCACCAGATTGATGACATTTACTTTGTTAAGAATGGCGCGCGGACGATCCCTTTCATGGAATCTTTCCCGACCTACGGCGGCTGCACCCTCACTCAGGGCGGTCCTTGCAACGGAGGTCATCAGAGCCCGTGGGACTCATCAGGCAAGGCTGACAACTCCGGGTGCTGGTCATTCACTACTCACAGTATCCTATGCGATCATGACATAACCTCCGACGAAGTGCATATCGAATTCTGGTCGGGCGGCTATTCTTCCACGAGCGGCTTCACTGTGAAATCATTGGACGCGGGTGGATCAGTAATTGCGACTGTGGCTGATGTTGGGTCCCGGTCAGGGCTTACTGCTTGCAATGCGCTCGACGGCGCTGGGACGCCAACGATTTGTCCGGTCTCCCCTCCGACGACGTACACGCAACCTACTGCTGCGACACCCAGCCCGACCGCTGCGACACCCAGCCCGACCAGCGCCCCCAGCCCGGCAGCTTCTGGGGCTTCTGCCGTTGGCGATCCTCACTTGCAAAACGTTCATGGTGAGCGGTTCGACTTGATGAAGGAGGGTAATCACGTGCTCATAAGCATTCCTCGTGGACAGATCGCCGAAAACGCCTTGCTTCGCGTGCGGGCCGATGCGCGCCGATTGGGTGGACAATGTGCGGATATGTACTTCCAAGCGCTGAACGTTACAGGGTCTTGGGCTGAGGCCAGTCAAGCTGGAGGGTATCGAAGACGCCTACGGCGAATCACCGCCGCCCCCTACCTTTATGACAAGCGCCTCTGTGGCCAAGCGTCTGGGTCCAGAGCTTGAACAAACTTTCGGACCAGGTGCTCCCCGAGCCGCTGTCGAAACCTTTCGGGGAACACGTGGGCGAGGAAGAGGAGGATGAGAAGAGGAAGGGAAAAGGAGGAGGAGGAGGAGGAGGAGGGAGGAGATCTCTTGGGAGCCTCGTGCTCCATTCCTGGGGCCTTCTGAGAGCTTCCTCGGGACCTCTTGGAGGCCTCTTGGGGGTCTCCTTGGGCCTCTTGGGGGCCTTAAGGAGCTTCTTGGCGGCCCTTTTGGTTTTCTTGCGGCGTCCCTGGTCTGTCTGACGCCGTCGGAAGCCATCTTGGAAGCCTCTCTGGGCCGTCTTGGGGCCCTCTTGGGGCGCTGAAGAGCCGTCTCGGAGGCCATCTTGGGCGTGTTGGAGACCTCTTGGGCCGTCTTAGGGTCTTGGGACCCTCTTGGGGCTGTCTTGGGATCCTCTTGGGCCGTCCTGGGGCCATCTTGGAGGCCTCTCGCGCGATCTGTGGGCGATCTTGGGGGCCTCTTGGGCCGTCTTGGGCCGTCGGACGGCCGAAAGGAAGTAAACGCCCAAATTCTTCACAAACCGAAGGCAAATCACTGCTTCTGGCATCTTGGGGCCTTCGTGGAGTACCTCTTGGAGGCTTGTTGGGCTTGGGGGCCTCTTGGACCGTCTTGGGCTATCTTCTTGAGGCCATCTTAGGCCGTCTTCGGTGCATCTTGGGCCGTCTTGGAGACATCTTGGGACTTCTTGAGGCCATCGTGGGCGCCTTGGAGGCGTCTTGGGACCGTCAAGGAGGCCATCTGGGGGCCATCTTGACGGGAAAAGCTGACGAGACGGGCGGCCAGCGGCATCGCCGAAGCCCCAGGGGTAGTCTTAACAAGAACCATACAATATTGTAAATAAATTTAGCGCGCTGGGCACCTCTGTGGCAAGCCAACAGGGGGCGGCGGATCGAAGACGCCTACGGCGAATCACCGCCGCCCCCTGCCTTTTTGGAAGCGCCTATGTGGTCGAAGGTTGTGCCCAGAGGTGCCAAGCTATCGGACCACGTGTTCCCCGAATCGGTTTGGAAAGCCTTCGGGGAACACGTGGGCATCTTGAAGGTCATCTTGGCCGTCTTGGAGGCCTCTTGGGCAAGCTTTGGGCGATCTCTGGGGCTTTTTGGGCCGTCTCGGGCCAGCTTCGAGCCAACTTCGGCCATCTTGGTGGGTTCCTGGCACGTCTGAAGCCGTCGGAAGCCGTTTGGGGGGCCTCTATGGGCCGACTTGGGGCCCGCTTGGAATGCTCCAGGGCCGTCTTGGAGGCCATCTTGGGCGTCTTGGAGGCCATCTTGGGCGTGTTGGAGGCCTCTTGGGCCCTCTTGGGGCCCTCTAGGGGCCATCTTGGAGGCCACTTGGGCCATCATGGGGCTCTCTTGGGGGCCTCTTGGGCGATCTTGGGGGCTTCTTGGGCCGTCTTGAGCCGTCGGAGAGCCGAAAAGGCGCAAATGCCAAAATCCTTCAAAAACCAATGGAAAATCAATGATTTTGGCCTCTTCGGACTCTCCTGGAGGACCTCTTGGAGGCCTCTTGGGCCGTCTGGGAGGCCTCTGGGGGGCCTCTTGGGCCGTCTTGGGCCGTCTTGGACTCTCTTGGGCCGTTTTGGAGGCCGTCTTGGACCATCTCGGGCGGACTTGGAGGCCATCTTGGGCCATCTTCGCGATTGTTTGAGGATGTCCCGAGCGAAACGGCAGTTTTTGGGTATTGACAGATGGATTTTGGGAAATTTGCGGGTGGCCGGCGGGACGGGCCGAAGCCCACTGGGGTTCTTTTAGAAAAAGAACCAAAACCAAAACCTGAATCATCCAGCACGCCGTGCACCCCTGCAAGCAGGGGGCGGCGGATCTAGTGGACTTCGGCCCATCCCGCCACTGTGCCTGGGTTGTCGGTCAGAGGCCCTTTGGATGCCTGTGAGAATCTACCGGGAGATCTCTTGAAGCCTCTTTCGGGGATATTTTAAAGCATCTCGGGGGCTTCTTGGGGGCCTGATTTGGGCATCTCGGGGCCTCTTGGGGGCCTCTCGGGACCTGGCCTTTTCGGGGCTCCTCGGGGGCCTCTGGGGAGATCTCGGGGCCATCTTGGGGCGGAGGGCTCAAAGCGTCAGTGCGTGTTTCTCCTCTTGGGGCTGTCTTGGGGGCCTCTTGGGCCCTTCTTGGAGACTCTTGGGCCGTTTTTGGGTGGTCTTGGGCGCCTCTTGGGCCGTCCTGGACGCTCTGAGGACCAACAAATGCCCAAACCGTAAATCACATGGTTTTGACCATTTTCGGCTTCTTGTGCCGCCCTCCAGGGCCTCCAAAACGGCCCAAGAGGTGTGCAAGAGGGTGGGGGACCCCAGAGAGCGCCCGCGAGCGCCCAGGGGCGCCCGGAGCTCCGGGCTGTAGGCCCTTTCCAATAACATGTATAGTACTCAACACAGAGAGCTCGCAGGGACCACAGGGCACTCCAACTCGCGCCTTCAGGGCACGGGGGCGGACCACTACAGCGTGGAGCAAACTGACGCCGAGATTCCAGAATGGGTTACTTTGGGTAAGGTTGAGCTCAAAGTAGTTCGTGGATGTACGGACAGTGGCCTCCGCTACTTGAATCTGCACGTGAAGCACCTAGGGCGGGCAGGGTTTGTTGTCGGAGGTCTGCTGGGAGAGGACGACCACGAGGACGTCATGGTTCCTCCAGAGGCATGTGCCACGCGTCTGGCCCTGGTGGATAATGTGGAAGCAGGCCTGAAATCTCCATCAGTGGCCTCGGTCGCAGTGGCAACCATTGCGTGACCGAGCGTGCTCGCCTTGCACGTCATCGAAGACGCCGTCGGGTATGCGCCCCGACCAGTCGACCAAGCAGTGAGTTCGGACTGGCGTTGTCGGGTTAGCAACTGTTTCTTCGCTGAAGCCGATCTCCTTCTGTTCCTGATTCTGATTCGCTGCTCCTCAGAGGGCGCCGGAGAAACCCTCGCCCCTCGTCCCTTGCGTCTGGCTCCTCCTCCCTCGTCCCCGCTCTTACCTCCTCCGAGACTGTTCCTTCCTCATCCGTCCTCCCTCCCCCTCCGTTCTGGGCAGCCTGCAGGGGCCTGCCGTGGGCCTCCAGGTGTTTTTTCCAGGAGGAGGACCTGCAGCGGGTCTTCGTCGTCCTCGTCGTCGTCCTCGTCGTCGTTGTCCTCAGCCTGCAGGAGCCTCCAGATGGCGCCCCCAGGGTTCCCCATAGCGAGGGGGCTCCCGCTCGAGACGTCCAAGCGAGTTACTCACGGACGAGGCTCCCGCTCGAGACCTCTCTACGATGAGTGTGCGACTTAGTGTGTGACCGTGTAGGTGTGAACGACGACGATGGTGATGATGCTGCTGCTGTTGCTGCTTATGATGATGACGATGATGCTGATGAGGAGGATGATGATGCTGATGATGACGCTGATGGTGATGTCGAGGAGAAGTTTAAGGATGACGAGGATGATGCCGATGATGCTGATGATGCTGCTGATGATGATGCTGATGATATCGACGATCACGATGCTGCTGCTGCTGATGATGATGAGGCTGAGGATGAGGATGAGTATGATGATGATGGTGCTGATGATGGTGCTGATGATGGTGATGACGACGACGATTACGACCACGATGATCATGCTGATGATGACGACTACGATTATGATGAAGATGATGCTGATACGGTTGGTGATGCTGACGACGATGACTATGATGATGATGATGATGATGATGCTGATACGGTTGGTGATGCTGACGACGATGACTATGATGATGATGATGATGCTGATGCTGATGATGCTGACGGTGCTGGTGATGATGCTGATGATGACGATGCCGATGATAATGACGATGCTGATGACAATGATGATGACGATGATGATGATAAGCATGACGCATATGATGATGTTGATGCTGATTGCAGTGAGGGTGATGATGAAGATGATGAGGACGATGATGATGATGATGCTGCAGATGCCGATGACTGATGGCGATGATGATGATGCTGCTGATGAGGATGTTTCTGATGACTCGGGCGACGATGATTGTTATGATGATGGTGACGGTGACGGTGACAGTGATGGTAATGGCAATGGCAATGGCAATGGCAATGGTAATGGCAATGGTAATGGTAATGGTAATGGTAATGGTGATGGGGATGATGATGGTGATGATGACGCTGCTCTCTTGCTGATGGTACTGAGGATGAGTATGCTGCTGGTGGTGGTGATGTTGATGACGATGAGGATGATGCTGGTGATGATGATGGTGATGGCGATGGTGATGGTGATGGTGGTGCTGACGATGATGATGCTGGTGGTGATGATGATGCTGATGATGATGATGCTGCGAGTGTGTGAGCGGTGTCACTCATGTTGATTATGATGATGATGGTAATGACGATGCCGAAGATGACGATTATGATTATGATGTTGATGCTGCTAATGATGATGGTGGTGGTGACGATGATGATGTTGAGGATGATTGGTGATGCTGATGCTGCTGATGATGATGATGCTGATTGTGCTGGGGGTGATGACGATGATGATGGCGAGTGTGATGGGGGTGATGCTGGTGATGATCATGCTGATGATGGTGATGGTGATGGTGGTGATGATGCTGCTGTTGATGATGATGATGATGAATGTGATGAATTTGATGATGCTGATGATCATGATGCGGATGATGGTTATGGTGAGGATGATAATGGCGATGACGATGACGTTGATGATGCTGATGATGATGCTGATTGTGATGGGGGTGGTGGTGATTATTATGCTGATGATGCTGATGCTGATGGTGGAGATGATGCTGATGATGATGATGTTGATGATGTTGATGATGATGATGATGATGACGATGATTATGTTGACGATGATGATGAGGATTATGATAATGATGCTGGTTAGAATGATCATGCTGAGGATGAGGATGATGATGGTGATGATCATGCTGACGATGGCGATAGTGATGATGATGATGATGGTGATGATGATGATGGAGGTGATGATGATGAAGATGCTCAGGATGATGATGATTCTTGTGATGGGGGTGACGATGATGGATTTGATGATGATGAATGTGATGATGCTAATGATGTTGATGATGATGATGATGACGATGATGGTTACAATATTGCTATCATGGTGGTGATGATGATGGTGCGTTTGTTGTTGCTGTTGTTTATGATGATGGGGGTTGATGGTGCTGATGATGACGATGCTGCTGCTGCTGCTGATGATGATGATGATGGTAGCAGTACAAGAGGAGAAGTGGGTGAGGAGGACGAGGAGGTTCCTGCGGGGGGTGTCCAGAGAAAACTCGAGCCCTTTTCAGGACATGGGGAAGATAGTCCAGTGACAGGGGCCCTCCTGGCTTTGAATGGAGAGAGTTTCCCGGGCCGGGCCCTGGCACTACAGCCCAGCAGGGCCATCATCACTCAGAAGTCATCGGCAAGGGTCTGTGCTTTTATGGCTGGATGGCCATCCGTGCCCTTTGCGACAGTGCTGGCGATATGTGCCATCTGTGCGGCAGCACCAGATCGGAGTTATTTCGGCTCAGACAACAGCTACGCACATTCCAGCACCTTTACTTGATATCGAACCTTTTTTTCTGCGCGTCGTGAAACTCACGCGGGATGAAGTCCTCCAGCATCGCGGTACTCTTGTTTTTGGTTGGCTGCGTGGGAGCTGCTCAGCTCAAAGTGATTGACGACACGGCCTACGAATCTGGAGCAGCACGTTCCCCAGTCTATGGGTACGAAATCACTTACAAGTCTACGCACCAGATTGATGACATTTACTTTGTTAAGAATGGGCGCGGACGATTCCTTTCATGGAATCTTTCCCGACCTACGGCGGCTGCACCCTCACTCAGGGCGGCCCTTGCAACGGAGGTCATCAGAGCCCGTGGGACTCATCAGGCAAGGCTGACAACTCCAGGTGCTGGTCATTCACTACTCACAGTATCCTATGCGATCATGACATAACCTCCGACGAAGTGCATATCGAATTCTGGTCGGGCGGCTATTCTTCCACGAGCGGCTTCACTGTGAAATCATTGGACGCGGGTGGATCAGTAATTGCGACCGTGGTTGATGTTGGGTCCCGGTCAGGGCTTACTGCTTGCAATGCGCTCGACGGCGCTGGGACGCCAACGATTTGTCCAGTCTCCCCTCCGACGACGTACACGCAACCTACTGCTGCGACACCCAGCCCGACCGCTGCGACACCCAGCCCGACCAGCGCCCCCAGCCCGGCAGCTTCTGGGGCTTCTGCCGTTGGCGATCCTCACTTGCAAACGTTCATGGCGAGCGGTTCGACTTGATGAAGGAGGGCAATCACGTGCTCAAGCATTCCTCGTGGACAAATCGCCGAAAACGCCTTGCTTCGCGTGCGGGCCGATGCGCGCCGATTGGGTGGACAATGTGCGGATATGTACTTCCAGGCGCGGAACGTTACAGGGTCTTGGGCAGAGGCCAGTCAAGCTGGAGGGTATCGAAGACGCCTACGGCGAATCACCGCCGCCCCCTACCTTTATGAAACGCGCCTCTGTGGCCAAGCGTTTGGGTCCAGAGCTTGAACAAACTTTCGGACCAGGTGCTCTCCGAGACGCTGTCGAAACCTTTCGGGGAATACGTGGGCGAGGAAGAGGAGGATGAGGAGAGGGAGGGAAAAGGAAGAGGAGGAGGAGGAGGAGGAGGAGGAGGAGGAGGAGAAGGAGGAGGAGGAGGAGGGAGGAGATCTCTTGGGAGCCTCGTGCGCCATTCCTGGGGCCTTCTGAGAGCTTCCTCGGGACCTCTTGGAGGCCTCTTGGGGGTCTCCTTCGGCCTCTTGGGGGCCTTTGGGGTCTTCTTGGCGGCCCTTTTGGTCTTCTTGCGGCGTCCCTGGTCTGTCTGACGCCGTCGGAAGCCATCTTGGAAGATTCTCTGGGCCGTCTTGGGGCCCTCTTGGGGCGCTGAAGAGCCGTCTCGGAGGCCATCTTGGGCGTGTCGGAGGCCTCTTGGGCCGTCTTGGGACCCTTTTGGGGCTGTCTTGGGATCCTCTTGGGCCGTCCTGGGGCCATCTTGGAGGCCTCTCGCGCGATCTGTGGGCGATCTTGGGGGTGGGCCGTCTCGGGCCGTCGGACGGCCGAAAGGAAGTAAACGCCCAAATTCTTCACAAACCGAAGGCAAATCAATGCTTCTGGCATCTTGGGGCCTTCGTGGAGTACCTCTTGGAGGCTTGTTGGGCTTGGGGGCCTCTTGGACCGTCTTGGGCTATCTTCTTGAGGCCATCTTAGGCCGTCTTCGGTGCATCTTGGGCCGTCTTGGAGACATCTTGGGACTTCTTGAGGCCATCGTGGGCGCCTTGGAGGCGTCTTGGGACCGTCTTGGAGGCCATCTTGGGGCCATCTTGACCGAAAAGCTGACGAGACGGGCGGCCAGCGGCATCGCCGAAGCCCCAGGGGTAGTCTTAACAAGAACCATACACCATTGTAAATTTAGCGCGCTGGGCACCTCTGTGGCAAGCCAGCAGGGGGCGGCGGACCTAGTGGACTTCGGCCCATCCCGCCACTGTGCCTGGGTTGTCGGTCAGAGGCCCTTTGGATGCCTGTGAGGATCTACCGGGAGATCTCTTGAAGCCTCTTTCGGGTATATTTTAAAGCGTCTCGGGGGCTTCTTGGGGGCCTCGTTTGGGCATCTTGGGGCCTCTTGGGAGCCTCTAGGGGCCTTTTCGGGGCTCCTCGGGGGCCTCCGGGGAGATCTCGGGGCAATCTTGGGGTGGAGGGCTCAAAGCGTCAGTTCGTGTTCCTCCTCTTGGGGCTGTCTTGGGGGCCTCTTCGGCCCTCCTTGGAGGCTCTTGGGCTGTTTTTGGGTGGTCTTGGGCGCCTCTTGGGCCGTCCTGGACGCTCTGAGGACCAAAAAATGCCCAAATCGTAAATCACATGATTTTGACCATTTTCGGCTTCTTGTGCCGCCCTCTAGGGCCTCCAAAACGGCCCAAGAGGTGTGCAAGAGGGTGGGGGACCCCAGAGAGCGCCCGCGAGCGCCCAGGGGCGCTCGGAACTCCGGGCTATAGGCCCTTTCCAGTAACATGTATAGTATTTAACACAGAGAACTCGCAGGGACCACAGGGCACTCCAACTCGCGCCTTCAGGGCACGGTGGCGGATCACTACAGCGTGGAGCAAACTGACGCCGAGATTCCAGAATGGGTTGCTTTGGGTAAGGTTGAGCTCAAAGTAGTTCGTGGATGTACGGACAGTGGCCTCCGCTACTTGAATTTGTACGTGAAGCACCTAGGGCGGGCAGGATTTGTTGTCGGAGGTCTGCTGGGAGAGGACGACCACGAGGACGTCATGGTTCCTCCAGAGGCATGTGCCACGCGTCTGGCCCTGGTGGATTATGTGGAAGCAGGCCTGAAAGCTCCATCAGTGGCCTCGGTCGCAGTGGCAACCCTTGCGTGACCGACCGTGCTCGCCTTGCACGTCATCGAAGACGCCGTCGGGTATGCGCCCCGACCACTCGACCAAGCAGTGAGTTCGGACTGGCGTTGTCGGGTGAGCAACTGTTTCTTCGCTGAAGCCGATCTCCTTCTGTTCCTGATTCTGGTTCGCTGCTCCTCAGAGGGCGCCGGAGAAACCCTCGCCCCTCGTCCCTTGCGTCTGGCTCCTCCTCCCTCGTCCCCGCTCTGACCTCCTCCGAGACTGCTCCTTCCTCATCCGTCCTCCCTCCCCCTCCGTTCTCGGCAGCCTGCAGGGGCCTGCCGTGGGCCTCCAGGTGTTTTTTCCAGGAGGGGGACCTGCAGCGGGTCTTCGTCGTCCTCGTCGTCGTCCTCGTCGTCGTTGTCCTCAGCCTGCAGGAGTCTCCAGATGGCGCCCCCAGGGTTCCCCATAGCGAGGGGGCTCCCGCTCGAGGCGTCCAAGCGAGTTACTCACGGACGAGGCTCCCGCTCGAGACTTCTCTACGATGAGTGTGCGACTTAGTGTGTGACCGTGTAAGTGTGAACGACGACGATGGTGATGATGCTGCTGCTGCTTATGATGATGACGATGATGCTGATGAGGAGGATGCTGATGCTGATGATGACGCTGATGGTGATGTTGAGGAGAAGTTTGAGGATGACGAGGATGATGCCGATGATGCTGATGATGCTGCTGCTGATGATGATGCTGATGAGATCGACGATCACGATGCTGCTGCTGCTGATGATGATGAGGCTGAGGATGAGGATGAGTATGATGATGATGGTGCTGATGATGGTGCTGATGATGGTGATGACGACGACGATTACGACCACGATGATCATGCTGATGATGGCGAGTACGATCATGATGAAGATGATGATGATACGGTTGGTGATGTTGACGACGATGACTATGATGATGATGATGATGATGATGATGCTGATGCTGATGCTGATGCTGATGCTGATGATGATGATGCTGACCGTGTTGGTGATGATGCTGATGATGACGATGCCGATGATAATGACGATGCTGATGACAATGGTGATGACGATGATGATGATAAGCATGACGCATATGATGATGTTGATGTTGATGCGGTGAGGGTGATGATGAAGATGATGAGGACGATGATGATGATGATGATGATGATGCTGCAGATGCCGATGATACTGATGGCGATGATGATGCTGATGGTGATGATTCTGATGATTCGGGTGACGATGCTTGTTATGATGATGGTGACGGTGACGGTGATGGTAATGGCAATGGCAATGGTAATGGCAGTGGTAATGGTAATGGTAATGGTAATGGTAATGGTAATGGTAATGGTAATGGTAATGGTGATGGGGATGATGATGGTGATGATGACGCTGCTCTTGCTGATGGTACTGAGGATGAGTATGCTGCGGGTGGTGGTGATGCTGATGACAATGAGGATGATGCTGGTGATGATGATGGTGATGGCGATGGTGATGGTGATGGTGGTGCTGACAATGATGATGCTGGTGGTGACGATGATGATGATGATGATGATGATGATGATGATGATGATGATGATGATGATGCTGCGAGTCTGTGAGCGGTGTCACTCATGTTGATTATGATGATGATGGTAATGACGATGCCGAAGATGACGATTCTGATTCTGATGCTGATGATGATGGTGGTGGTGACGATGATGATGTTGAGGATGATTGGTGATGCTGATACTGATGATGATGGTGCTGATTGTGCTGGGGGTGGTGACGATGATATGGCGATTGTGATGGGGGTGATGCTGGTGATGATGACGCTGATGATGGTGATGGTGATGGTCATGGTGGTTATGATACTGCTGTTGATGATGATGATGATGATGATGATGATGAATGTGATGAATTTGATAATGATGCTGATGATTATGATGCGGATGATGGTTCTGGTGAGGATGATAATGACGATGACGATGACGTTGATGATGCTGATGATGATGCTGATTGTGATGGGGGTGGTGGTGATTATTATGCTGATGATGCTGATGCTGATGATGGAGATGATGATGATGCTGCTGATGATGATGATGATGTTGGTGATGCTGATGATGATGATGATGACGATGATTGTGTTGACGCTGATGATGAGGATTATGATGATGATGATGTTGATAATAATGATGATGCTGAGGATGATGATGATGATGGTGATGATCATGCTGACGATGGTGATAGTGATGATGATGATGATGATGGTGATGATGATGGAAGTGATGATGATGAAGATGCTCATGACGATGCTGATTCTTGTGATGGGGGTGACGATGATGGATTTGATGATGATGATGCTGATGATGAGTGTGATGATGATGATGATGTTGATGATGATGACGATGATGGTGACAAGATTGCTATGATGGTGGTGATGATGATGGTGCGTTTGTTGTTGCTGTTGTTTATGACGATGGGGGTTGATGGTGCTGATGATGACGATGCTGATGCCGATGCTGATGCTGATGCTGATGCTGATGCTGATGCTGATGATGATGATGATGATGATGATGATGATGATGATGATGGTAGCAGTACGAGAGGAGAAGTGGGTGAGGAGGACGAGGAGGTTCCTGCGGGGGGTGTCCAGAGAAAACACGACCCCTTTGCAGGGCATGGGGAAGATAGTCCAGTGACAGGGGCCCTCCTGGCTTTGAATGGAGAGAGTTTCCCGGGCCGGGCCCTGGCACTACAGCCCAGCAGGGCTATCATCATTCAGAAGTCATCGGCAAGAAGTCATCGGCAAGGGTCTGGCGATGTGTTCTCTTGCAGGGCGCGCTGGCACAAATATTTGCCTTGCGTGGAGGAGGGGTTGGGTACCTCTCGGGTACTTTTGTTGTTGTTATTATTATTGTTGTTGTTGTTGTTGTTGCTGTTGTTGTTGTTGTTGTTGTTGTTGTTGTTGTTGGTGTTGGTGTTGGTGTTGGTGTTGTTGTTGTTATTGTTGTTGTTGTCGCACTCTGTCGCAGCTAAGCTTAAGTCGGGCTTGTCCCTCTACAGGAGGAATATTCAAAAATAGTCAAGAAATGGTCGGGGGACGATTTTGTAAGCATTCTTGGCTGTAGGGGGGCACGCCCGACCTGAAGCTAAGCGCCCCCCCGCACTTGACCGCGACCCTGGCGCCCGTGGTCGACGCTGCGCGGAGGCCAGGAAAGACCGCGAGGAGGGGCTCCTGGGGACCGCCTCGAAGGTCCAAGGGGTCGGAGGTCAAGGGACGGGGGTCAATGCAAACGGGGGTCAGCCAGAGCGCCGGATCCTACAGGATCCTGCAGGGCCAGGGTCGCATTGACCCGGGCTTGGGTGCATGAGCCTGCAGGATCCTGAAGGATCCTTCGCATTGACCTGGATTTGAGTGCAGGGTCTTGCAGGATCCTGCAGGATCCTGCAAGGCCTGACTGACCGGGATCTGGATTAACCCGCGAGAAGATCTCCGACAGGGGTCCTCCTCTTCCTCAACCTCCTCCTCCTCCTCCTCAACCTCCTCCTCCTCCTCCTCCTCCTCCTCCTTCTCCTCCTCCTCCTCCTTCTTCACATGCGTGGAGGCGAGAGGGAGGTCGGGGAGCAGAGACATACAATTTTGTAGCCCTGTTTGCCCCCCCCGTCGAGCAGTGGAAAATAGCATGTCTCGAGAACCTGCCAGAGGATCACCTGCTCATTGCACGCTGCCCGTTCTTCGAACAATCACAGTACTTAGGTCTCTTCAAATACGCGGATGATTTGCAGAAGCTACTGGTCAGCACCTCGGATCAGGCTGCAGCGGACCTTTCCCAACAAGCCAGACTGGCTGATGACATGCTCGACGAGAGACTTCAGCAGTTCGGCCTGGCTCAGAACCGCGACAAACAAGAGAACCTTGGCACGACGGCACAGTACAGACAGTTACGCACGAAACAACATGCACTTCCAGGACGCACGGTGCAGTCGGCTAGATACTTAGGACCACACATCAACACTGTGCACACGTACGGAGCGGAGCTGCCACAACGTATTCATGCTATGATGAGGGCATGCAGGGAAATGGGAGGGTTCTGGTACAAAGCGGGGGTACCGTTCAAGTGGAAACGGGCGGTCCTGATCTGTAAGGTAGTCAATACTGGGCTCAGCTGTATCGAGAGCTTCTTACCGACTAAGGCCGAGTATAGGACTCTTACGATGACGGTTGCGGGACTAGCTCGGAGGGCCATGCGTGGCAAAGCCACCACCTACCAGCCCGACGGTACGGTTCGGAGTCTCACGAGTTATGAAGTCTTACGACACTGGCGAATCCTGCCACTACAAATGGAAGCAATCGTCAGACGCCTCACTTGGATCAGACAAATGTTACTCAACCCCGTGGCGCACCAGCAAGTACTTACAGCCATTTTCGGGCAACTTGCTATGGAGCCGGAGCCGACGGTCTGCGACGACGGCACGCTCCATCCACGGTGTAATGCCTGGGCGCAAAGAATAATTAAGGACCTTGAGGAGGCGTGCCGCACGGACATGTTTGTAAGTAACTTAAATGACTTGGACATCCGACCCGGAAATTTCTTCGAGCCAGACTTCCAGGAGGCCCTCAGAGTCCTCGGCCCCAAGGAGCTCCGACAGGCGTTCAGGGCCCGTACCATCCCACCCCCAGGCCTCCCAAGCCCAGGAGCCAACGCAGCAGCAGCAGATGTAGCAGAGGAGGAGACGGTGCTAGCGGAAATTGCTCCATGGAAATGTGAGATAGTGGACCTGCCGCATACCACCTCCGAGTGTGGCGACACTGCGCCGACGACGGCGACTGCCGACTTGCAGGCGGGGCCAGTGGATCCAGCAAGGGCGTGTTCAGGATGTGATGTCAGCCAACGACCCTCGACAGAACATGATTCTCCCTGTGTGTTGTGCATGCTTCAGTACACGTAAGGCGCTTATGTCACACATGCGTAACAAACACAAACTGAGCAACGTGGCGTCCCTACTCACACCTACTAACGAGTGTGTGAACTGTGG